TTGACTCCACCAGCTTATTTAACCCCAAGTCTCCATCAGCACCTTTGCTTGTCAGCTTTATTGGATGTCTTAAATTATAGACTGCATCCTGATGCCTTTGCAGTTCAGCTGTAAGGGTTTATGCCTAATCGCCCTCCCTGAACAAAACACGAAAAACATTAGGAACATATTGAAAAAGTTGGAATTATTTAACACTCCCCTCCTAGGCCCACACTGTACAGAAATATTTTGGTTTTTATAGTTGGCTCCAAGAGGCAATTTTCTAACAGATTTTTATAGCGGAGAAGAGAACTCGGCCTTTAAAGAATGCAAAGGTCAACAAAGCAAAATTTGCTCTATTTATGGTATGGGTGTGACATTTGGACCTCTTAGCAGCCAATATTCGTTTGGCTTTAAGAAAGAGTTCATTGCCACACCTGCTTGCTTTATTCTACATCAAATGGTGTTTAGTAAAGAGTTTTGGAAACAGAGACCTTCCATAGGCATTCATGCCAAGCTTATCACAATTCCGCGACGCTTGGCCAATAGTGCAATGAGAATGGATGACACCAGGATGCCAGGGCCCTTGATGTGTGGTGAACTGAAGGGCTATAATTGTATGTGAAATGGACAGAAGAAGTGCTTCAAGGGCACACTGGCACCTAACTTACAGTGGCAAAGCGGCCCTGTAGAGAGGCGGGAGTTCACAGCAATAAGCTTTGTATCCTGCTATGGATCAAACTGGAAAAGAGGAGAGGTTAGTGATTTGTAGACTGTGAGATTAATGTGACTCACAAACCATTTCAACTGTGGATGTCAGAGCTTCTTGGGAGGACCACTTGGGCATCCACAATCATTAATTGCTTCCTCTGTGAATGGCACTAAGAAAGCACCAAGAGACACAAAGGAGAAATATAATACTTCTTCCCTCTAAAAAGCTTGCAGTCACATATGTATATGAAGTGGGAATAAACTTTAGCAAGGAATAAGTTGAGGACTCCAAATGGGTATCAGAGGAAAAGTTACTTCTGTCCAGTCTAGAGGCTCAGGACAGCCTCAAGAAGGTGTGGTTGGAGATATAACTTTGGAGGATCAATTCATATTGCAACACACACATTCTCGTAAACACAGAGAAACTTGTGACCCAGGTAAAGCCTAGATGGAAAAAGAAGGCGGATTTTAGGGGCCCAACAAGTAAACCTTTTTTTTTCTTGCCCTCCCAAACTCAAATATATTGAGAGAAAAACATAGAAGTTAGACACTTGGGGAGATTATCATCTTTTTTTTTTTTTTTTTTAACCAACAGAAGCTCAATTCGAGGACCTGAGTGATGTGTAGCTGCACACATTTTAATAATTTACTGCTGACATAAGCAGACTTAGCGGCCCAACCACAGGCCACACTCCACAGAGACAGAGTCTTATCATATGGCAGAGAGCAGACAAGATTCACCTTGACTGCAGGTAGGCAGCTACGAAAGAGAACCCAGAAGTACCATACCATGGTGGCTTAGCACTTTCTACAAAGTTCATGAGTCAGAAAGTCCATTTCTCCTCCCTTGGAAATATATCCTCTTCCCTATCCACCTGCCCAATATCATCTCCCAGAGTTTATTTTATTTTTTTTTTAAAAGATTTTATTTATTTGAGAGAGAGAGAAAGAAAGAGCATGAGCAGGGGGAGGGGCAGAGGGGCCGAATTTATTCTTTTTTTAATGGACTCCGTAAGTTGATTTCACTACAAGTAACCAAATTAACAAACAATAACATTTATCTTTCTTTAAATCTGTGCATTTCTGTGACACACTTTGAAGCTCTTTAGGCTCTGATGCAAGTGGGTTAGGAAAAAACTGAGAAGCACTGATATATAAATAATTCCCCAGGTGATTCCAATAAGCAGTAAAGCTTGGGATCTTTTGGTCTAGATGATTTCTAAAGATTTTGGAAACTATTGGTTTCTATGATTCTTGGAGCTAAAATTCCCTGTGGATGCCTGCTGAGTGTTTTTTTTTTCTTTCTCTGGATACTTATTTGATTAAGTTTCGTTTCTGGCCAGAGATTCTACATTTTGGAGAAGTATTTCCAAGAAATGTAATGGCCCTTTGAAGATCAGAAACAGATGTGAGAAGAAAATATCTCAATCCCCAGAGGAGAGGGTGTTGGGAAATTATCAGTTTAGAGGGTACTTAATGTTAAGAGGGAGTGGGGGTGGGACTGTCTGATAGGCTTTTACAAATAGTTTAGGACGAAAGACTCTTGAAATTGAAAAACAATGTAATGAAGGGATGTGTAACAAATTGTTGAACAATGCAGTTTTCAGTTTTGTGGGATTTCTGTTTTGTGGGAACTCTAGCATGTTACATGTCTCTCTAGGTCCCACTTGTCTTACTAACTAAACGAATTAAATGAAACCATCTTTGCATGATTATAGTGCTAAATATAAAGAATATTTTTGAGACATTTACAAATATAAATGTTAACTAAGTACCAGATTACACTTGATTTTAGCCAAAAGGCCGAGAAGCGATAACTAATTACCAGATTAAAATGTTGCAGTCCCTAAAACTAGTTTATAGCAGATGATCTGCCCACATAGGTTAAATATGTTCTAGAAATAAATTAATTTGCATTTTAGTGTCAGCTTTCTTCTTTGTTTGCTACCAGCCTGTACACTAGATCTCTCTTGTTTTGTCCCCTACACATTATTGTGTGCTCTCTTGGCTTCTAAGATGTGTCTCTTTCCTGGGTCTCTTCCTTTCCTCTGATGTTTTCTTGTTCTTGTTTTTGGAATCTCTACTTTTGCCTGTCTTTACATATAATCGTGCCCCAAGTATATTTATAAGGTTCTCTTTTTAATGCCTTATCTTTCCCTTTTATGCTCATTCCTTCAGAAATAGAATTACATAATAAAAGTTTATTGAGTCCTACGATATATGCCAGATAATATGCAAGGCACTAGGAACAAGGTGGTCAAAGGCAAAGGCTCCAGCCTCTAAGACTTTAGCCTCTCACAAATTTGACAATCATTTATACTCAGTTCCCCTCCTCTGTAGTCCCAGCCCCAAATCATACACTGAGCATCTCTGTTTGGAAGTCCTGTAGGCACTGCACACCGGATGTGGAAAAAACCAGAACTCATTATTTTTCCCTGTAACCCTACCCCTCTGTGTTCCCTTTCTCTATTAAGTAGCATTATCTCAAACTTTCATATTAGCAAGTTTATCATCCTCTCCCTATCTACTCAGCTGCCACTTCTTGTTTATTTTTCCTCTGATATGTCTCTCAGATCCATTTTCTTCTCTGTCCTTCCACTGTCTTGGTAAAAGTCTCCGTTGGCTCTCACCAGCACAAGTAGTCTCTTGTGTCCCTGCTTCCAGGTTATCACATGGTCCTGAGTTGTCATTCTACTCACACTTTCCTGCATCTCATTCTCCTGCTTACTTTCAGTGCAGCCCATAATCGTTCCCCACATGTCCTAACTATTCTCCTGCCATTTTTACCCATGTGCTCGTGCTCTAGCAGCACCAGACTAGATGAATTCCCCCCACACTCCAATGTCTTGCATGCCTTGGTGCCTTGGTTGACTCCTGGGCCCAGGATTTCCTTCCTCTCCATCTTTGCTTGGTGAACTTCAACGTTTAAGGCTTAGATTCTTCTTCTGTGAAGACTCTTCATCTGTGAACCTGTCTCCACATTCTTTGTTCAAATTTCTCTTATAACACTTTTCACATGGTATTTTATATTCCTGGGTACTTCCATGTTTGGCACAGAGTAGATGATTTTTTTTTTCTTTTTTGGGTGGCTGGTCCCAAATAAGTAAAATGAAATTTGTCACACTTTTATATCTAAAGCTCTGTCTCTATGTGATCCCTAATAATGTATTTTAGCAAAAGACTGGACTATTGAACAGTTGATATATTTAATTGTTGTAAATGCAATTGTGAAATGCAAGTTTTGACTTGTTGAGTTTACATTTAACTTGAAATTACATCTTACTACAAAGAGAGGATTCTTTTTTTTTTTTTTTTTTGTACCTTTAGGTTTTTCTTTCTTAAAATACATTCTGTTAGAAGAGTTGCACCGGAAAAATTAAGATAGTCCAGTGTGCCTTACATAATTTCAGCAGATGGTTTGAAGAAACTGAAAGTACTCTGAGATCTTGCAAAGCATGGTTGCTTTAGATTCTAGGCCTACATTGTTCTCAGTATTGTACTTTGCACTTTAATGAAGAAAATACTGACTAGGGATATGATTTCCTTTTCTTCTCTCATTGGTTATTGGGAATATAAATGATAGGAAGGCATACAGTTAATTCCACTTATTCTATTAATATATTCATTCATAAGCTAGTTTTATAACCCATTATCACCATTTTTCATGGTAGGATTATTGAGTCCAGTTATTATGTGAAGTTTTGAGTTTTCTTTTAAGTTCCAGGTATTGTAGGGCAATGAGTGGGTTAGTTTATTATTGCGGCAGTCTGCTCTAGGAATACCTTCCTAGTAATCTGATTGTCTCCACAGGGTGGATTCTGCAGATACACTCAACTCATTTACAGCTCAGGATGACATGAGAGCTGGGGGACAACAAAGATTTAGTAATGCTATTGGTGTGTTAGGCTGCATGTGGATATTTTCCCAGATTCTTCTTGGATTTATATTATTTCCAAGGGATTTTCTTTGGCAGTGTTTAATCTAAGAAAGAAGCATAGCAAAAGAAGACTTAGGATTCTCTTTTTCTAAACATTTAAATATAAAACCATTTAGTACAGTAGAAAGCAGCAATGAAAATTGGGGAAAGTGTTAAACTAACTCCAAACATTAACTGTTTTTAGTGGATTGGATGGTATACAGAGGGAACTATCAAAAATAGTTTCTTTCTTTCTTTCTTTCTTTCTTTCTTTCTTTCTTTCTTTCTTTCTTTCTTTCTTTCTTTCTTTTCTTCTTTCCTCTCTTTATTTAGAAATGTTACTTTCTGTCAGTCTTATTTCTGTTTTCTATTTAAGAGTCTGTAGAAGAACAGCTTAGGGCCACTCGGTGGTTGTTGCTACCCATTCAGTGGCCTGAGCCATGGGAGCTGCAGACCAGTCTTCAGTGGCAGGCTGAGCGCGCCAATCGTCAGTGGGGAACTGCTGAATAGTCACAGAGGGCACCTGCACACCTTCAGACCAGTCTGCAACCTCAGGTTGAGTAGCAGTAAATCTGGGAGCTGCAGTAGTCCATTCACCCTGAAATTCCTCCTTGGTCACAGCTTTTTCAACAGTGGCCTACTCTTCCTTTTCAATCTCTTCAGGATTTCTGTAGAAGGAGAGATCAGGCATGACCTTCTGTGGGTGCTCACAGGAGAATGTGCCATGCATTGCAGAACTTCCTGGGCCAGCATCCGCCTCATCCGACCCACTGAGTGAGCTCCTTGTTATTATATGGGATGGCAGCATCCACATAGCACAGAGAAGTCCGTGTTACACAGAGCAACATAGGCACGTTAACACAAGATGCCTCTGTGAGAGGCTGGTGGTCAGCCCAGGAATCAGTAATCACCAGAAGTCTCAGCTCCTAGAGGGCTTCCAGGATCTGGTTAGTGAATGTCCCAGGTGTGAAGTGGCCAGCAATATGAGTGGCTCTGGTGACAGTCACAAACTTCAGCACAGCCAGCTGGCCAGTATTCCTGGAGCCTATGACACTTACATCAACTGGGCTTCCAATAGCCTGAGATGCTGGCAGAAGCTTCTCTTCCAGGTTCTCTTCAGATTTATGATGTAGATGCCATTGCTTTTCCTTTTGTAGATCGAAGTCAAGTTTGGTGCCACCTAAGTGGGTTCCTGCTGCAAGGAATTTGAGGACATCCTCTTCTTTCTTTTGCAGGACATCAAGGACTCTGGACATTGTGAAAGTTTCCCTTTAAGTTAGGATGGAAACTCAGAGCAACACAACACGGACCCCTCTCCAGGTAGCTTGGAAAGGCTCTACTTTCTGATAATTCATAAATACTGTCATTATCCTTGGAAAAGAGACCACCCTCAGGTTTGACACTTTGCTAAGAGGACTCAAAGAACTCAGCATATAATAATATTCACCGCTACGTTTTATTACAGCACAAACAACAATCACAACAACAACGACAAAAGAAGCCAAGTCAACCAAGGGAAAAGGCACATGGGGCAAATTCTGGGGGAAAACAGGTGCAAGCTTTCAAGGGTCCTCTCCCAGTGGAATCACATAGGATGTGCTTCATTCCCTCGGCAGTGAGTTGTGACAGCATGTGTAAAATGTTGCTAACCAGAGAACTTCATTAAAGACTCAGTGCCCAGTGTTTTTATTGGCGCTGGTTATGTGGGCATACTTTGTCTGCTGTGTACCAGAATTCCAGATTCCTAGGAGGAATGCAGATGTTCAACACAAAACATATTGCTTGCACAAACATTTTAGGCACAGTGAACAATTCTTACCAGTTAATGGTAGGAACCCTCCAAAATCTAAATTCCCAGAGGCTAGCCAAGGGCTAACCTTACAAGGAAGTCTTTTCAAGGATAGACATTTAGAATTGCTATGTTAACTCTTTTCTTCACACTGTGTAAGGTAACATATTGCAGGTTTCAGGGATAAGGATGTGGACATATTTGGAGGGATCATTATCTGTCTATAGTATATGTATTTTACTTAGTTTTATCGTCACAGCTCTAGCCCCAGTGCCTTGCATGTAATGAGCACATGGGAAATGCTCCTTCTTTGTGCATTGACCTGTGCATCATGATTTGTCATATTCCGTGTCTCCATCTTTGTAAATGGCATTACCGTCCACCGAGAACCTGAATAGAAAATCTATTTGACTCCTTCCTGTTTCTTGCCCTCCACTTGCAATCAATCACCGAGTCCTACTGAGTCTACTCTCTTAAGTGTTTCCTGATTCCGTTCCATTTCCTGCAGGTCGACTGCTGCCACTGTAGTCTGGGCTACCATAACTTCCGGGCACTCTTTCTCTATACGCTCTGGACTGGTTTCAAGCTTCTAGTTTGCTTTCCTTCAATCCATTCTCCATATAGAAACAAGAGTGTTCTTTTAAGAACATCAATCTAATTGTATTACTGCTCTATTAAAAACCCTTCAGTGGTCTCTGTCTACTCCTCCAGACTCAATTTTTACTCTTTCATCTTGCACATTATATACTTTGCAGTCACATTGAATTTCTCAAGCAAAACATACTCCTGCCTTACCTCCAGGGTTTTACATGAGTTTGTTCCTTTGTACCAAACACTTTCCTCCTTCTTTGCCAAGTTAATTCCAATTATCCCTTCATTTGAGTCTCAGCAAAAACATTTCTTCCTCAGGGTGATCTTACCAGGCATCTAATAGGTTAGGTCCCTCTATTATCTGGCCATTTATATCCTGTACTTTCCCTATCATTATGTTTGTCCCAAAAGTTATGGTTTTGTCTATCTTCTCTGCTAGGTTATAATCTCCATTATGGCAGAGACTCTGTACTGGTTGCCATTGTGTCTCTAATATATAGAACATGGAACCGGACATGGTTAGTTTTCAGTAAATGTTTCCTAAATGAGTGAATGAATTAGTGCTGAAAGATTTTAAGAATGATTGCCTGGCTGCTTTGGAAAACAGTCTGGCAGTTCCTCAGAAGTTAAACATAGAGTTATCATATGAGCCAGCAATTGTACTCCTACATACCCACCCAAGAGAAATGAAAATGTAACCCCCACAAAAAATTGTATATAAAATCTCATAGCAGCATATTGTCAGCATATAATAGCCAAAATGTGGAAAGAACTCAAATCTCCATCAACTGATGAAAGGTTAAATACAATGTGGTATATCCATGCAATGGAATATTATTTGGCAATGAAAAGAAATGGAGTGCTGATACGTATATCATTACAACATATATGGACCTCAAAAACATGCTAAGTAAAAGAGGCCAGTCACAAAAGACCGCATACTGTATGATTTATGAAATGTCCAGAATAGACAAATCTATAAAGACAAAAGCTAGATTAGTGATTGCCTAGAACTGGGGATATTGGGAAAAAATGGGGAAAGACTGCTAAGGATTGCCAAGGTTTCTTCTTGAGGTGATAAAAACGTTCTAAAACTGATTATGGTGATGGTTGCACAATTCTGCGGATATCTTAAAAACCATTGAATTGTGTATTTAAAATTTATGAATTGTACAAAATGTGAATTATATATCAATATTATTAAGAGAATATTGGACACTTGCCAATGTATAATTCAACTTTGAAAGAGAACTGATGGCAATTATGCTTAATTCACACTAAGAACATTGAACTGAAGAAGTATTAATTGAATGAGTGAATGGCTTATCATTGTCTATTGACTGAAATGCCTGGCCAGCTAGTTCACCTCACAACTCAATCACATAAGTGGTTTCCCTTGAGACAATGATCGCACTTTGGTATAGAGCAAAAGGGATTTATGTATATTTTGTCACATGAAATGTGTAAAAAGAAGTGAAGTTAGGAACTGAGAGTTAATTTTAAAAATTAATACTTTTCACAGGCTCATCAAGGACACTCAAGTGAAACAACCCTTCCACCCCAGTCTTAGGTACAGAAGGATGCAACGACTGACTCAAGCCAATAGTTTTACTCATTAGTGCACTATTGCTTTTGCACTGCAATGTCAACCCAGTAGAAAGGCAAATAGCTTGCTTCTTATTATTATGAAAATAGTTTTGACCTGATATTTCCTCTGAAAAGATCTTGAGGACTCCTAATGGGTCTGTAGACCACACTTCGAGAGCTGCTGTCCTAAGTGATATAAAATCACAGATGCCTTAGCAACAAAGGTCCAGCATGTATTTACAGATCTCCTTAAGTTGTGCCCCAGTGGTCCTTCTAGGGTAGATAATCATCTCAATCAAGTTGGAAATTATTTGGCAGAGTTTCTCCTTAATGCGGTACACTTCTTTTTTTTTTTTT